CAGCGAGGGGGCCGCCCCGCCCGGCGTCGGCGAGCCGGCGCCCTGCTTCAAGGATGGCGGCGTGCGGGCCCTTGACCTTGGAGGCCCTGTCACAGGCGCTTCAGGCCTCGGGCCTGATGCAGTCCCTGTGCCCAGCCCCACCGGCGCCGAGGCCGGCGTGGCGGGGCCGCCGTCCGCCATCCACGGTGCCCTCGCGCTGCTCCACGCCTCTGATCGGGCAGCGAGCCCGCAGGCGAACGCCGCCGCCGCCGCCGCCCCTGCGACGGCGGCCAAGCCTCCAGCCTCCCCTGCGCGCCGCCTCGATACTGCAGGCCAGGCGCCGGCCAGCGCCACGGCGGCGCCAGAGCGCTCGCCCGCGCCCGACGCCGCCGCAGCCGCCGCCCCTGCTGCTGCTGCTGCGGCACCTCTCAGTGGCGCGTGGGGCGTGACTGAGCACGAGGCGTCGCTGCTCAGCCAGCTGCACACCATCATGGACGCCGCCGCCGCCGTCGCCGCTGCCGCTGCGGCCCCTAATGCCGCAGGCCCTGCAGCTGCATCTCAGCCATCGCCTTCCCACCCCGCGCCGCCGCCGCCGCCGCCGCCGCCGCCGGTCGTGCTGGCCCTCAACCCCGGCAGCGTCCCGGCCGCCCCTGCCGCCCTCGCGGCCGCGGCGCCCGCAGCCGGCCGGGCCGCGGGCAGCGTGTCCGACCTGGTGACATCAGCGCTGTCCCGGGTGCCAACAGAATTGAGGGAGGAGCTGGAGGGCGCGCTGGTCGTCCAGTTGGAGCTGCACAAGCAGCTGCAGGACTGCGAACAGGTGCGGCGCGGCGGCCGTGGAGCTGGGTGCCTGGTGCAGAGGCGGCCCGGGAGAGAGAGAGAGAGTGTGTGGGGTGGGGTGGGGTGCGGTTGGTGGGTGGGGGCCGATTGGTTGGGTGGGGTGCTTCGCCTTGCAAGTCGCACTGCGTGTCGCATGCCATTGACATGGGACGGCAGACTAGGCACATCTTGACCCGGCGCGTCCCCGCCCCACCTGACTTGCCCCGCCCCGGCCCCGTGCGACGCTTCGCCCACAGACGCACGAGCGGCTCCGCGCCAGCATGCAGCAGCATGGCGAGTACGTATCGCAGCTAGCAGCCCGCGTCTGCGGCGCGATGCAGCCGCAACAGCTCGGAGTCGCAGCCGGCGCCGCCACGGCCGCTGTCCCGGCCTCGGCCACTGCAGCAGGGACGCACCAGCACCCGCCCCTACACCTGCAGCAGCAGCAGCCCCTTCACCAGCAGCAGCAGCAGCAGCAGCAGCAGCAGCAGCAGCAGCAGCAGCAGCGGCGGCGGCAGCAAGCGCTCCCGCCTGGGTTGTCCGCGATGAGCGCCGCGGCGGCCGCCGGTACGTGGGGGCCGGCCCTGGTGCACCGCATCGCGTCGTCCGTCGCCGCGCCGTGCGAGCAAATGCAATGGGCGGCATGACCCTGCCAATCTCCAGCACCCAGCGGCTCGCCCCCGAGGTGCGGCTCCCACCGCGAGCGCTCGCCAGGCGGCAGGACGCGGCGCGAATGGGAGGGCGGACGCGCTGGCCCCCTTGGCCAGCGGCGCGACCCAGGGGTTAGCGCGCGCCGCACCTGCAATCAATTCAACGCGCAGAAGGACTCGCAGCAGCAAAAGGAGCTGCAGCGACGGCCGGGCGACTTGCGCCAGAAGCGGTGACGGCGCGGGCTGCTGGGGCTGTGAGTCTTCGCATCAGTGCCCGCCGGCTGCACCGGGAGCGGCGTCTTCCACTCGTGCCTCGTCAGCAGGTGGTGTGGTCTGCAGAGCGGCGGGCCTGCCGCGTGTGGTGGGGCTTGGTTTAATTTGCCTCGAGACGCCGACTGCACGGCTTCCCCTCTCGGTGCCAGGGCTGCAGGCTCGTCCTGCCATGACCCGCATGGGCGCTGCTGCCGGTCCTGGCGCGAGCACAGCCCCCTGCTGCAACGCAAGTTGGTCCTGGGCATGACACCCGGCCATTGACAGTAGTGTGCGCGGCGCCCCAACCGCCACGGGCCGATCCACCC